TCGAACCGTCCTGACCGCGTAGCTCAGTTGGAAGAGCATTGGGCTAGTATTCCAAAGGTCGTAGGTTCGAATCCCACCGTGGCCGGGCATATTTTTCAAGCTCGCCCGGTGTGGATATACACTCAGAGTAACACCACAAATATATTATGTTAGTGTTTCTCAACCGCCAGATACATTTAAAAAGGTTGTTAACTGTGTCAACTACAAAATAAACCTAAAACGAAGTAATTTTGAGAGGAACGGCGCCAAAAAGATTTTAGGTTTTGAACACTTTGCATCGCAAATACGCGACATTGAAAAAAATTGCCTCTTAAATGTATAATAAAACAATTATTGGATTCGGCTTTCGTATGACATCAAGAATTATTCAGACCTCGGTCAATGTTATTCGTTTCAGCTTCGCTTCGGCAGATAACATTGACCGAGGTCTGAATAATTCTTGATATCATGCTCAGCCTCATCCAATAATTCCTTAATATCGAGTGAGATGGTCAAAATTCTGACATCTAGTTGGAAAATGTACTTTCTTCATACAGTGGTTTGACATTCACGTAAACGAAGATCGCATTGCATCATGTTTTATCATGTTTATATATCTGAGGAGGCTACGTACTTTTTAATATTTAGATGCACGTCCCATAACCATAGGTATATTGATCGGACACTTATCATAGCAGCTTATGTTCAAATATTGCTCGCTTGTAGGAAATAGCATTACAAGTACAGCGAGATGAAGAAAAGCGAATGAGATATTTAGAATACAAGAGACAACAAAGGTTAGCAAAGGATGAAGAGGAACACAGGAGACTTCTGAGGATCATGAAAGAGCTGGAGGAAGCTGAACTCGGTACTGAACTCGGTAAGTTTAGGAATTCTTAGAACAAGAGGCTTACTATGCCTGATACGTTCCTGAATGTGTCTAATGCGATATGTATACACAAAAGGATCATCTATCAAGACGAACTACAGGTACACGCAGATAGAGATCATCTTGGTGGATGATCCGTCTGTTTATCACGTTGAAGACCATGCTAGGCAAACTATCTTTGTCCAAGTATGGCTACAAATGAATAAATTTTTCCATTATTGGCATCACCATTCCCACCCTCGCCATCACTATATACTCCACCATCACCAACATGTTCATCACCACGACCATCATAACCATCATCATCACCATCATCACCACCACCATCATCATACCATCGTCATAATTATAATCAGTATAACTGTCTCTTCAATTTAAGACGACCCAGGTGATGACGTAAGTCCCACTGGTGATGTCATCGCGTTACCACAAAACAATGACATCATAGTTCTTGCGGATGGTACGGCAATTGATGCGAGACATAACGAGATACAGACTGAAGAACAGAAACGAGAAAACATGAAAAGACGAGATGAAGTAAGGGAGGATTGAGTTAGGTAGTCTGCGTAGCTGGCGGTCCCTAATTTTCACTGTTCGCGCCCCAACCCCAACCCCAACGCAGGCTATGAGTTAGGTTTTAGCAAGCGTTACAGAACACGGTATGGTGGGCAACTTTTGAAGTGTTGGCTCTTAACTATTTATACCACCAAATAAAAGACTACTGCATATAATGAAAATAACTGCATGTCAGTTGATCACAATATACTGCACGATAGTGTTAGTGAAAGTGAAACCAGCCTATTTAAGATATAGTGTTATACAGAATGAAGTATTCTAGATCCTAAAGTTTGATTTGCTTAAAACAGCATTACCCTCCAACCATCAGAAGAAAATCGCAGCAAAAATTGCAAGTGTAAGCGAGCGTTAAAACAGACATCTCTCTAAGACAGGCGTATCTCTAAGACAAACATCTCTCGACAGACATCGCTCTAAGACAAACATCTCTCTAATAATACGGAAGCTTTCAAGTGCATACATCTCTCTAGTACGGACAACGACGTATCTCTAAGATAGACATCACTCTAAGACAGGCATCTCTAAAAAATTCTCTAATACAGATACCTCTATTACGGACACCTCCATGTTGTGATCACCTTAACCTCTTTATCACGGATATACTCTTAAAAGATTCTCATCGCAGTGGCCTCTAAACGGGTTTTTTGCTCTGTTCCTTCGGATACTAGACTAGATTTGCTCCAGGTCTCGCTCGAATTGACTTCATTTGTGATAGCGTGTTCAATCACGGAACTTATCTCATAATAACTGAAGAGAGCCATTTAAAATGAAACTTTATTTCATAACAGACTGGATAGACTCTATCAAAATGAACTTGGAGCATGTCTGTTACTAGACAGGATGTAATTTGTGTTTTTATGGTATTTTAAAGGAATTGGCCAAACTTCTCCAACAACAAGAGGATGATGTAAGTATATAATTTCTATTCATGTGTGTTACATTTTGTGCTGACAGTTTCAACGCTTTTTACTGTTCATTGTTTTTTTTAACAGCAAATTGAAAAGAAACGAACTATGCACGAGGATTATCGCAAAGCCATAGAAATGCAAGACAGAGTAAGTTTGGCCTCTATTTTAAGTTTGGCCTCTGGCTCTGTCGAACCATAGCCTATCGAAGGGAAGATGGCTGTGAAACTCATCAGAATAACAATATAACTCAGTCATTATCTGCATGTGTTAGTCAACTAAACAATAGCAATGTTTAGGAAAGTTACCTATCCGTGACTTGAACTATAGGGAGATTGGAAATTGCTGTTGGTGGATTTGACAAAAATACAATACACACGTGACGGTGAAGGACCATATTTATGAATAAACGTTGACTAACATGGATGAGTTGTATTGGTATTCTAATGAGTTTCACAGCCATCTTCCCTTCGATAGACTATGATCGAACGAGATGCCCCCAAAATCCAAAATATCGATATTTATCCATATACTTTCCACTGGCATTACGCATTACACATACATAAATGTGTGGTTAATGCTTAATATGGTTTCTAAAATTTACCTGTATAACCAGACATCTACATTTTTTGCCTCTCACAGAGGTGAAAGTTACGGACACTAGCGAATGTATCACCAACACACTAAATTTGTTTTCCCAGGAGATCGCGAAGCATCTTCAACGACAAGAAAAGGCCAAGGCAGAAAGACGACGAGAAAAACAGTTGAGACGTGTACAAAATTTGGCCGAGAGAGACGAGGTGAGATACTGTATATTAGTATACGGTAGACCTAGAAAAAACCTGTATTAAAATCTGCACGTTAAGTGGTGGACTATATTCAGTGCACTATATTATAAGTAGTGGACTATATATTCATTAAGGTTACTTAATATGCGAGAGTTCATATCTTCACTTCACCCAATGTCAGGAAACTTTTAACAACAGATCTTCGCTGGAAATTTTCTTACATCACGCAGGAAATTTTGTCATCTTATATAATTTGCTAAAGCCTGGTTTCCATATGTTCGTAATGGTCGTAAAAATAGAGTCACGATCTTTCTCAACGGCCAGTTTATTTAACAATTATTCGCCGAAGGCGAGGTGATTATCGGTGAATAAAAACCGAGACGAAGTCGAGGTTTTTATTCACGATAATCACCGAGCCTGAGGTGAATAATTGTTTTAGTATAATTTCATAGGTGATTATATGGAAAAAAAATAAAAAATACACATTTCTTCGTCATTTAATTGACAAAAAGGCTTCGGCCGCCATTTTGAAAATCCCTTAGGTGATTATCGCGTAATAATCACCTCAACGGCAACCAATCAGCGTGGAGAACTTTCAATAATCACCTATGTAATTATACTAAAAACGTTTATACCTGTAAACCACATATAAATCGTAAGTATTCTCTAGTTCTAATAACTCCGCGTATTTTCAGTTCTAAAATGTTGTATTCGGCTGATGAGAAAGATCAATCGCGACTCAATCTTTACGACCGTTACGAGCATACGGAAAGCAGACTTTATTGTTAAAATTCAAAAATCGTTTTGCAAGTCGAGATTGCCTTCTGCCTCACGCGTCTTTATCACAATGTCCAGCATGATACTCCGGGGTCTGCCTATGCTGAAAGTTTTATATTTGACTTGCACAGGAAATTTTTATTTTTGGATTTTGCTGCCAAGAAGATAAATATATTTTCTATGCCAGTCTCCTCCAATTTTTGTGGATTTTGTAGTTCAACGGGTAAATCGGTGGACTATACCGGTAGATTTCTGAAAGATGAGAGTATAGCTAGTCGTATGTATCTCCACGAAAGAATTTGTATGTTTGATGTTACTACAAACTGCAGTCATCTTGCATCATCTATTATATTTAAGTAATCACGAACAATAGATTATTTATCACGATTTAATTTAGCATTATCAATCAGCCATTATTGATCATGGTCAAAACCATTATTGATCATGATCAGCTATAATTAATCATTTTGTATGTATCACGTGCACCAACAATCATCATCAACCGTCATTCATCATCATCATCATCAACTATCTTCAAGCATCATCATATGTCATCTGACTCAGTCAGCTTCCGAAATTAGAAGTGGTCCTGCGGGTCGCAATGTGAAAAGTTGAATCTGATAGTTCGTTAGTAATTGATTTTTTCTATATACGTATATAGTGTATTTGTCTAACATTTAGGATCGCAGTAATTGGCGCAAGCTGTTGCGATTGCCCTGCCAGTTTTTGTGTTAACGTCGTTTCAATCTGGCAAAGTTTATAAATTAAATTAAATATAGCATATATAGCATCATCTTCAATAAATCACCATAATGAATAATTATTAATTAAAAGTTCTACTAACATTGGACATTTCATTTTTCATTAGCTCACATCTGGACCAAGACGTAACCTTCCAACGTACCACGAAGCTGTCGATGACTTTAGACGAGAAGACGTCCCCCCGGTCGGCAACGACCACAGAGTAGATACCAGAAGAGAGAGAGAGCCGGAACGGGGGGAGAGACCGAGTCAGGTTCGAAACTCGAGTCCTGAACAACACTACGAAGAATTATGGCATGCGAAAAGTGGCGCGAAAACTCACGCTCTGACGCCACAAATGTTGGAGTCATGTGACTCGGGCCAAGAGCCTGGCGGCCACTTTAACAACATCGCCGAAACCTTGGACCCAACCTTCCAGAGAGCGACTCGTCGCGCGGACGGAGAAGCGGGTGGCGAAGAGGACGAGAGAGCAAGCGGTGGCAAGAGTGCTCCCATCGTTCCTCCATTAAAAAGAAAAACTTCAAGGGAAAAGAACAAAAAATCCCGGGGGAAATAAATGTGACCAATAATTACTGGGAGATGGGAATGTCCATTTTCATAAATTGAAGGAATGGATACGAATGACGTATCCAGAACGTTACTTGACCATGGTGGGGTTTGCACTCAGATTATATATGTATTGGATAATCAGTGGTATAGAACTGAAACGATAACAAGGGGGGGGGGGCTCTTTAGCTAAGTGGGGGGGAGGGTGACAAGGCGTGGAGCGTGCAACAGGATAAACATGAAAATTGGGGGTGGAGAGGAATATTTTTCTTTGAATATTTGATATTCCTTACCATCAGATCTAACAAAATCATCACTAAAATTATTACTGCATCATTTCAACAAGAACAAATCAATTATATTAGTGCTTTTACGTCATTTTACAATGTATAACTAAAGTTTTAATATTTTTATAAATATATATTACGTAAAACTGCGAACGTGTTTCACAGTTTTTTGTTCACTTAATATTTTAGTCATTCGCATTTGACATTCAACTTTTTATTCAACTTTTCATTCATTTATGTTTTTATTTGGCAGTCAACTTTTCATTTTAAATTGATACTGATTCAAATTTTCATTCGAGTTTTCATTCATTTGGCAATAACTTTTCTTCAACTGTTTAGTTGACATTCAACTTTTCGGCATTTGACATTCAAGTTTTCATTCAACATTAAATTTTCATTTACCCAGTTACCCTGGGTTCCAGAGCCTTCAGAAAGTTTCCTAGCTAGGGTCAGGTTGTCAAAACAATGTCTCAAGACGTTTGAAAACCTGAAAACCTCTGGTACCCAGGGTGAAATTCCTTCCACATGAAAACGAATGAAAATTTGAATGTCAAATGAAAACTTTAATGCCGAATGAATTGTATATTAGCGGCCATATTATGAGTTTGCTTTGCTTAAATCACAGCAAAAAAATTTTCCGGATTAATATAGTCAAAAAAATTTTTCCGGACTAATATAAGCATATTCAAATAATTTTCGACCAATATAAGCAATGCTTCCGATTTTTTCACCGCAAGTGTAACTGAAGCTTTAAAATTGCGAACCATTTCATTTATTTTAACATCTTCGACCATCTTATATCCCAAACTTTTACCAAATTTTTCCGAGTTTTACCTTGAATTTTAAGCAAATATCAGTTCCATTTTGACTAGCCTGCGAACAGGCTCTCAAGCTGAATTGAGAGCCTGCATCGATGACTAATGAATTTGAATATCTGCGTCTCAAATCATGACGCGAAATTCTCATTGGTCAGATGCTATAATTTATATGTTTCCGCTGAGCTCTATACATGTCAACTGCTGAAGCACTGTGCATAAAAAACACTGATTAACTGATCAAATTGGTCTTGGACGTCTTATCTCAAAGCACGAAATGTTCTGTTCTGAGAAAACAGTATTTAAAACATCCGAACTTTTGCTTGAATATCTTATATTTCGAAAAACAGTATAAACTGCACGGTCTAAATTTAGTTTGCACGGTCTAAATTTAGTTTGCACGAAAGTTGTAAACAACACCATATAAGGATAGACATTCCATATTTGGTAAAACGAACGTTACGGGGCAGATATTCAAATTCATTAGTCATCGATGCAGGCTCTCAATTCAGCTTGAGAGCCTGTTCGCAGGCTACATTTTGACCAACTTTGGGCAAATATCAGTTCCATTTTGATCACCAACTTTGACCAACGTTTGAATTATTGGGGGGGGGTTACACCCCCCACACCCCACACCCTATAGCGACGTCCCTGTTCGCGGGGCCCGGGGCAAATCTTCTTTGGGGGGTTAAGCTGGTCTAGACTTTAGCTAGACTGCATGTGGAGCTACTGTAAGGGGCCTGCAATTTCAAAAATGCTCTGACCAATTTGAAATAACCCACTCAATTTTGGGCTCTCGGTTTCAAGTTAGGTTAAGGTGGGGGCCCTGGGCAATTTGCCCCCTGGCGGCCCTGATTGTAGTTGTTTGTATAATGGTAAATTTACAGTTACAACTTTTAAAAGTCGCTTTTCATGTTGTTTGAATTGTCTAGAATCTTTCACGAGGGCATACCGTACCCCAAAAATGGCGGATTTTGGCCTTCTTGCACATTTGAGTGCGCTCTGATCTCAATACATGCAGCTGATGTCTAACAAGCAGGAGCCTGCGTGACTCGTGCACGTTCTTAGAATGTGACGTCATTTCATTTAACTCACGTCGGTTTACGGCTTCGATTGCCGTACAGAATTTGTTAATTTCTCTATGGAATCCTTCAAAATCTTCGCGTTTTTTAGACCATCGACGTTCAAAAACCACACAAAACCATAATGGAATAACCAACGTTTACGTTCAACTTGCCGACCGCCAAAGAAAAGGGATTTTAGTACAATAAACCGACGTTTGAAATCAAGCCATTTTTGCCGGCATCGGTAAAGTTCGTGTATTTTCTTTGGGAAGAAATGCAAGGGAAATCACATAGACCAGGGGCTGGACGAAACTATATACCGTATCCTTTTAAATATGGATTATATACGAGTGTTATGTCTGTCTATAACGGCGATCGGCGGTATATTCTGGCATGTATTGTGCCTTGAAAATACACACTACTTTATTACTTAAATGTGTTCATAGGTACATGTGATTTTGTATACAAATACGGTGATCGATTATGAAACTTAACTAGATCTTCATAGAAATCCAAGAAATCCTCATATACCAAGTAAGTTTTATCACTTTGTTGAGTGCATGCTTAAAACTTTAGTCCAGTTGGCACGATCAGTGTTTATACTTTGAATGAATTGAATTTGATGTAAATTTTGTCATTTTCAGACGAAACGCAGCTACGAAATCAACAGGGCTATCCAGTACAGGTTAGATCAACGATTTAAGATACTTATTTTATTGAATTAGTTGATTTAAAGGTCAAATTATGTATAATCTGAGATATTTTATAAAAAAAGTTTGTTGTGATCATTGTGTTTTATAAAGTGCAATATCATTGCCTCACTAACCCTGCTGGGAACTAGAGTATGTTATTATCTGTGGGTGGGGTAACCCTCAGATGTTTTGAAAACATGCAGATGGCACTTAGTTTTAACATAGTCAATAGAATACAATGTTACAAAACTTGATGAATATACAATAGAACTTATTATTATTGTATATTTTCATGTCAGCGTATGATGATTCATTGTTATGAGTATGTTGTATTTTTGTCCAACCAACCATGTAGCAATGTTTTGGTTGCCCAACTATGATATTACATAATGGTTAATTTAAACAGTTGCTTTTTGTTGTTTGGCGAGAAACCGATATTCACTACAAGGAATGCACCTGATAACATATCCAGCCAGAGATCCGGGCCGGATCTTGAGATAATCTCATTACCTGGTATCCGGTTGGATGTATAAAATATATACTAGATGTAATTTATTCACGGTTCAGGCTTTTTAGGTTACCCTGCTGGCAGTGGTTTCTGAGGTGAGGAGAAACCACTGCAAGCAAACGAACGACCTTCTATCGAGCATGCACGAAGATTGTGTAATGCGACGTCACTAATTTAACTTCATTTCCTGTAGTTTGTTAACTGTAGACAAGCATGGAATGTCTGTCAGTTTTAATCAAACGACATTTTATTCTACATGCAGTTCACAGTTTATCGTTATTGCTTGTACTAAAATATTTTGCAATTGGTGCCTCATCCAACAAATTATGCATTCGAATTTCTGTTATATCTTTTTCAATTTTTGTATTTATCCGATTATAACAATTTTTTTATTTGGTCTACAAACTTTATTTCTGTTACTTAATTTAAACATTGGAGTTGTTTTAAGGTTTTTGGTAAATTCTAATTTCCAAAGTTTCCAAATAATATAATAATGTTTCCAATTACTGTTCATTTTGACAATTATTGCAATTTGCGATTGTTGCGACCTCAAATGCTTCACGTTTTAACTGGTCAAATTTGTACATTACAAACATCACTTTATGACCATTGAAATGACCATTATTAGCCTTGCATTATTAGGCCTGAACCTTGTATATAACCAGTATTTCAGTTATAACCAGTAATCTGGTAGGAAGATATTTCAACACTCCGCGAGGGACAGCATATCTGGTAATATTCTGTCAATCTGTAAAATTCTCTATCCCCTGCACCTTGACAGGTTAAAATGATAAAATAGGGCACATTGGGGTACCCATAGTAACATTGCCTCAACTATTAAAGGAATAAAGTAGATTTGGCATGACTCTATTTTCTAGCAACTCTCTTAAATTAAGCCTGTTTTTCATTGAATTGCACAATTCACACAATTGCAGGATTCAGAGCAATTTTAATCTCAGGAAATGGCAACCAGCCTATTTCTACGACTCTTGCGACGCGACATTGCAATATTTACGAGTTACTGGAAACCAGATTTAATTTGGCTGTAATAAATACAGAGTGTGTATTAACCTGTGGTATTAAAACCCTTGAAAAGTTTAATTTCAATTAACCCATTAAGTGCCAGCGAGTAAAATCTTCTGCCGTTAGACAGAGTAGGGTCATTCCATGTCAAATCATCAGATTTTTTTGAAATTTGTAACCCACTACTTTGGATTTGGCTAATTTTTTAATCATTAATAGAAATATGTAAGAAATGAACGTATACAAAGTTTGAAGTTAATATCTCAAACGATTATTGATTTATGGCTCATCAAAAATTTACTGGTCTTAGCCTTAAAGCTACCTTAAATTTCACTTCCGCTACAATACCTAACTTTAAAACCTCTTAAAATATTTTGTATACATGCTTATACTCTGCAATTTCGCATTCTGAACCTTCTTATGATGGCGAATCTGAAAATCATATTTAAAATATGATGAAATAGTAGCACATGCTTTATGTTTGCCAATAAATTACGACTTCCGGTTTTGACAAGTTTTTGACGTCATCGTTTCAGGGCAAATTTTCGTTATGTCTCCGAGCAATTATGGGGTTATTGTGTATGTCATGTGAAAGAACACACTTCAAACTATCAGAAAACACTAATTTAACCATTTGCATATGACGGAGACAAGTTGCAGCTCCCGTTCAAAAAAGTAATTTACAAGACATTTTTTCTGGCATTGGAAATGTATAATTTATTCAGTAATACTAATGTACAATCAATCTAGGCAAAATGATTTTTTTTATTTGTTTGTTTAGAAGTTGTTCAACCACCACTAATGTCTTTCGCAGTAGTTTCCCCATTTCTATAGTGATTTTCCAGAACATAATTTATATGCTTAATAATTTCATGAGCCATGTATTTACCACCATTAATTGGTATCACCAGTGAAATACCATCATAATATCTAATGATTTTTCTAGTATAGTGTCTTTAGAAATGTAAATTTATAGCAGCGACATAATTTACACATCGTTAATCAGATGGTATATATGTGGCGTCTAGTGTAACCGTCAGTTATAGTTAAAATTCACATCGAGTGGCAAGTAAAGGAATTAGATAAGTTGTTGTGTGAACATAGTATATAACTGCATGGAACCTTGTTGGTTTGGTGTAAATCCAGGAGATTGTCATAAGACATCATATGTGCGGAGAACTGGTTTGAAAAATCTTGCATATTTCACAGATGAGGAACGGAATCTCCTTCTGTGGAGAGGAGGAAAGAGGGAATGTGTCACTGATGCAGAACAATTACAGATATGCTACCACCACAATGCAAAACTAGGAACAATATTTGAGAAGAGGTTTACTAAATGCTGCAATTTGTTCAAAATTCACAAGCGAAATGTTAAAGGTGGCCATAAAATTTCATTACACATAGCAACAAAACTTGTTGACCTCGGATATGAATGTGTTCCCGGTTGGCAGCTTTGCAGGACATGCTATGATAATGCGCAAAAAGACGAAACTATTGTCGACAAGGAGACCTCGCAATCTGAACATGAACCGAATAAGTTAGATTCAACGACAACAGATTTTTCAACAGACGAGATTGATTCAGATGAAGCAAGAAACCTATCAAGAGATAGCTTGAACAGAAGTCTTGAGTCGATTGGAGGTTCACCTATCACAACACACAGTATGCCAAAGCATCGCAGAGTATCTTATGTTAATGAGAAGATAGACAGAACTGTAGGCTGTCTTAAACGATCATTTGCAGCAGCTGTTGGTGTGGAAGAAAGTAGGTTGGTAGCAGAAAACGAGAAGTGTTCAAAAGGGTCGGTATCTGAAGAAATGAAAAAAAGGCCAGTGACCTTGACAAGCTGACGGAGCAAATGCGAGAAAAACTGACATTAGGAAGTACCACATCTGAAGAGAAAATTAAGATCCTTACTCTCACGCCTGAGTCTTGGTCAATCCCAAAAGCAGCCTCGTATTTTTGTGTGTCTGAATATTTAATTAGACAAGCTCGTGAATTGAAGAAATCTCGTGGTATACTTGGTACCCCTAATAAAAACCATGGTAAACCTCTCCCAATAAGCACAGCAGAGCAAGTGCAGTTATTCTTTGAAGATGACGCACACTCGCGTTTAATGCCAGGTAAAAAAGACTTTGTGAGCATTAAAAGAAATGTGCACAAGCAAAAGCGATTGCTTTTATGCAACCTTAAAGAGCTGTATGTACTCTTCAAAGAACAAAACCCAGAAGTAAAGATTGGGTTTTCTAAGTTTTGTTCATTGCGTCCAAAATGGTGTGTTACAGTTGGTTCAAGTGGCACACATTCTGTTTGCGTATGCACAATTCACCAAAACGCCATTCTTTTAGTTGATGCTACAAAGACAGGTCACACCTACAAAGACCTGATGGAAATGATTGTATGTAACTGTGACAGTAAAACTTGTATGGTTCATAGGTGCGACAAATGTCCTGGGACAGATTCTCTAAGGGAATATCTTAAAACATTTCTGGAAGAACATGAAGAAGTCACATTTCAACAATGGCAAACCACTGATCGGTCGAAGATGGTTACGCAAACTTTGAGCAATGACGAATTTATTGAGTTGCTGGTTGGTGCTATTGATAACCTAACGTCACATTCCTATATTGCTAAATGTCAGACCAAATATCTCAAGCGAAGAAAGGAAGAACTTCCCGATAATTGCGCGTTAGTTCTTGGAGATTTTGCAGAAAACTATACTTTCGTGGTACAGGATGAGATTCAATCATTTCACTGGAGTAAATCATATTGTACTTTGCATCCAGTCGTTGTTTACTACAAAGAAAACGGTAAACTTGCCCATACGTCATTATGTTTTATTTCAGACTATCTAGAACATGACACTGAATTCGTTTTTGAGATCCAACGTGAATTACTTAAGATCCTAAAAGAAAAAGTGCCGACCATAACTGAAGTTGAGTATTATTCTGACGGATGTGCAGCCCAGTACAAAAACTACAAGAATATGTTAAATTTGTGTAGACACAAAATGGATTTTGGCATTGACGCAACTTGGGTTTTCTTTGCGACAAGTCATGGCAAATCACCATGTGACGGCATTGGCGGTACAGTGAAGAGATTAACTGCACGTGCAAGCTTACAAAGGCCTTACTCCGAACAAATTTTGAATGTATCTTCAATGCTGGCCTTTTGTAAGGCAAACATCCCCGGCATAGCATTTATTTATGTTTCGAAGGAAAGAATGGAAGAAGTTCGAACTGAGTTAAAGGAAAGATTTGCCATGGGTCACACCATACCCGGAACGAGAAGTTACCACTTTTTTACACCAGTAAGTACGAATGTCATTGCATATAAACGTACGGCAGAAGATGATGCATTTGCGGGTTCATTCAACATCACCGGAGAACCAGATATCATTGAGGTGACCACAGAAGCCATACGACTTAATGAGTATGTCGCATGCAGATACGATGAGAAGTGGTGGGTTGGTGTGGTGGAGGAAGTTAGCGAAGTGGACCAAGACGTGAAGATTAACTTCCTACACCCGCCTGGACCAGCAAGAAGTTTTCGTTGGCCAAGAAGACCTGATGTCTGCTGGGTACCCATAACAGATATAATATGTCAAATCCAGGCTCCTGTTACTGCAACAGGTCGAACATATAAAATTGACGAACAAGACTGCAGGAACATAAATGAAAAATTTATTACGAAATAAAGCCTATAAATCCACCAGATGTTAACAACGATACGACATTCTGACTGTTAGTCATGATTGAACATTGTTTAATTAATGCGCTAATATTGGTTTGAGCCATTACTTTTAATATAACAAATGCTTACATATTTTTATACATTTACAATGCCAGAAAAAATGTCTTGTAAATTACTTTTTTGAACGGTATCTGCAACTTGTCTCCGTCATATGCAAATGGTTAAATTAGTGTTTTCTGATAGTTTGAAGTGTGTTCTTTCACATGACATACACAATAACCCCATAATTGCTCGGAGACATAACGAAAATTTGCCCTGAAACGATGACGTCAAAAACTTGTCAAAACCGGAAGTCGTAATTTATTGGCAAACATAAAGCATGTGCTACTATTTTATCGTATTTTAAATATGATTTTCAGATTCGCCATCATAAGAAGATTCAAAATGCGAAATTGTAGAGTATAAGCACGTATACAAAAGATTTTAAGAGGTTTTAAAGTTAGGTATTGTACCGGAAGTGAAATTTAAGGTAGCTGAAACGCTAAAACCGGGAAATTTTTGATGAGCCATTAATCAATAATCGTTTGAGATATTAACTTCAAACTTTGTATAAGTTCATTTCTTACCTATTTCTACTAATGATAAAAAAATTAGCCAAATCCAAAGTAGTGGGTTAAAACCCCCTGATGATTTGACATGGAATGACCCAGTAAAATAATAAAGTAGGGCGTAATGCGACTCGATGGGTTGAGTGAATCAGCAATACCAGATTTTCAGGGTAGATACCAGATATCAAGTTGTTAGTATTTCATTTGGGTTGGTGCTGAAATTAAAATTTGAAGCCCTCCACATGAAAATGAAAAGACCACAGCATATATTTTGTAAACATAACGATGACGAATTGCCATCATAGTTTTTATATTCATTACAAGTGAACCGTATAGTTTTCAAACTTTTGAAGAATTGCACAAGTCACACAATTGCAGGAATCACAGCAATTTTGGAAAGCTTGATATGACGATTAAATATACAAATGTAAACGTGATATCGAAAAATATTGATATTCTGATATTTTATCGAACATTTCAATATTGAATAATCAGTATTTATAAAAAAACGAATCTGGCTGGTTGCAGTGACATGATATTTAGAAACATTTTGCAAGCTCTTTCAGTGCAGGGGGGGGGAGCAGATTTTCTTGAAGGGGCACTTTTCAACAAGATCATGAATTTTGATTTCCCCACCCGTGGACAATAAGTTTTGGAAATGTAGGAAAAATTTTTCAAAACTCACTGATTTTGTGGTAAAATCCGACCTATGAGAAAAGTAATGTACATCTTTCCTGAAGTAAGTATTTTGATTTGCAATTTTGGCACACATGGCAAACATGTAATGAATTTTTAATGATTTTAAAACATTCTAGTAAATATTTCCCTATGATAAAAAAGGGATAGCCTCTTCACCGCCGTTCCTAGCTGAGTTGGAGAGTGAGGGCTTCTGCCCATCCCTGGGGAGAGTGAGAGCTTCTGCCTTTTGCCCTGGAATAGTCCAGTCCATGAGGTAAAGCTTTCTGATTTAGGTAATACTTCTAGTTGGTTATTTCTATATTCATGAAAATAGGCCGTCATGATGCCAGGGCAACGTCAAGGTGCTTACTTAGCAGGTCATCCAATGGCAATGCAACCACGTTCAATGCGGCCAGCCAGGGCAATATACTCATCATCACCTCAAGGACATTCGCCAATGCAAGGATATATTCAACAGCAGAATATGCAGTATCAAGTTGTGGGGCAGGTATGTCTCAATCAGTATTGTACCTCAAATTCAAATATTTTAAAGAGAGAACGTCAAAAACTCGGGTGTACATAAGAAATTAAAAGTTACTATTCAGCAAGTTGTAAAGTTTCTTCTGAACTTTATAGTGGTTTCTTTAACCTTTGGTATAATATATCATTTATGGACCCTCTGCTCGGAGTACTCGTTGAAATTTTACCTTCAGTGATGATATTTCCCTCGGGGCAAAGCCGGGAAGTATCACTTCGGGTAATATTCTGCCGAATCTTCCTCGGTCCGGGTCTATAAATGATAAGTATTCAACAGGGGGCCAGTCAGCCCGGTGGAGAATAGGACAATTTATATCAGTGATCACAACTTGCTCACAACTTACAACTAGCCAAATTAGCCTTAGCTTGCTTAGTTACAGTATATACAGTGTATATAAAAATCTACACCGTTCTAAAATGTTCACGTACTAAACTGAAAATTCTGCAAAATCTTTAACAACTTTATTTTAGTATGGGTATAGTTTGATCTTCTGGTATCTCTATCAAAACAGTACTATGAAAAGTAAATTTTCGAGCGCAACAGGGTTGTTGTAAAGTGGTTTTGAACTTCATTCATAGACTGCAAGTTTGCATCCTATGAATATTTTTGTGCGCAAATCATCTTTAGTACACCCTTTCGATAATTACGTCACGCATGCACATACGTTTTGGTCCTGGAGCCTCGCTCTCATCAGTAAATTATGCAAGGTGATTGACTGACGATTCATGAGAGCGAGGCTCCCAGGCGAAATGGTGTATTAAAGTGGTTTTGGAAAAAGTTGGTAAACCTGTATGTATGTCGGTAATCTGTATGGTCTTGCTCTTTTTTCTCCTAAGCTACATAAATTTAAGGTTTGTGTTTTGCTTTAGGATCCTTATGGCCAACCAGTGATGAGACCTACATTCATTCCTAATGTCCAGCCAGCGTACCAAATGCAACCGACCACTGCACCATTTCAACCACAATATCACCCACAGCAACATCAATATTATAACCAAGGAATGTCCCCTATGTACTACGCCGTGCAGCCTAACCAACCAATACAACCGCAACAGCTACCGCAGCCTTCTAACCCCACAATTCAAACGAATAATCTAACCAAACCTAAACCAAAACGAACTCATAAAATTGTAATTCGAGATCTAAAAAACAATAAAGATGCCACAGAACAAATTCTTTCCCACACTAATGCAGCGAACGGTCGTACTGGAAGCACCCCTCCTTTGACAAATTCAACTGCTCAGACAGAGTCCTCGACTATCCAGGCACAGTTTGTTGCTCGGTTTGCGGCCCGTGTTGGAGGAGAGAAATGTAAACAGGATAACGAGAAGAAACCGGACGAAACAGACAAGAATAAGCAACTTCAAGAAAGAACAGACCATGAAATAAGAACAGAAGTAAATAAACAAGGAAATGGATCAATAGCTGCCAACGAAACCCATGCCAAAGATTTGCCTCCAAACAATATGGAAACTCTTAACAAAGTAAACAGTTCAGCAGTTGAAAACTGGACAGACAGCCCAAAGAATACTACCGATAATACACACTTAAATCAGGGCTCACAAACGTTGCAAGAAATGGCAGAGAAGTTGAAAAAAAACATGAAAAGCGATGGTAGAGAATCGACGATAAAAAGTGGGGCAAGCGAAAAAAAGGAAACGGCCACAGAAATTTCAGATAAAGTACCAGAAAATAATGTGAATACGGCTGAAGGGAAAACAAGCAATGAAAATATGGTTAACCCTTGCCCAGTGGAACAGATAAAGAGTGACAATAAGGATAGCTTGGATAATGCCCAAAATGGTGTTGAGAATACTATTAAGTCTCTGGATAGTGAGGCTGCGCATGCTGGTATTAGTTCTGATAAAACTGGAAAGAAGGTTGAAGCTATCAGTGATAGCAAAGAGGTCGTAGGTCAACAGCCAACACAAACTTCTAACCCCACAACGCATACTCTAACCAAACTTAAACCAAAGCGAACTAGTAAAATTGTAATTCGTGACCCACAAATGTTAGAGCATAGCCTATCGAAGGGAAGATGGCTGTGAAACTCATTAGAATAACAATGTGACTCATCCATGTTAGTCAACGTTTATTCATAAATATGGTTTTTCACCGTCACGTGTGTATTGTAATCCACCAATAGCAATTTCCCTATTGTTCGAGTCACGGATAGGTAACATTGTTATTGGTTAGTTGGGCAAAAACACAATACACACGTGGCGGTGAAGGACCAGATTTATGAATAAATGTTGACTAACATGGATAATGAGTTTTATTATATGGCAAGCATTTGTTTGGATGAATCACGCAATTTGATTGGCTGCTGACAAAACAGGATTTTATTGGAGTTTTTATTTGGCATTCAACTTTTCATTTTCAATTTATACAGATTCAAGTGTTCATTCAAGTTTTCATTCATTTGGCATTATCTTTTCATTCAACTGTTTATTTTACTTTCAACTTTTCATTTGACTTTCAAGTTTTGATTCAACATTCAAGTTTTCATTCAACTTTTCATTTGAAATTCCTTCCTCTTAAAAACGAATGAAAACTTGAATGCCAAATGAAAATATATTATGAATTGTATATTAGCGGCAATATTATGATTTTGCTTTGCTCAAATCACGGCAAGATCGATTCAGCAACTCCCGATCCAGATAAATCATCTACAGAGAAATACCTGAACCATAAACCGTGTGGATTTTGCTACGTTGTCATATCTCAAGTTTACCAATTTTCCAAACCGCCTGTTGTGTATCGTGGTGAGGACGCATGGATAAGTTTCTTCAATGCTTAGAGAAAGAAGAACAAGATATTCAAGAGAAGTTGGAAGTAATTCAAGCGATGCAGATCAGCAGTGAAGAAGAACAACGGTTTCAAGATGCCAGCAGCTGTCATATTTGTGGTTATGAATTGGGAGCCGACCGAGTTAGAGATCATTGCAATGCCACCTCACAGGAAAATATCGTGGAGCAGCACACAACGAGTGCAATTTAAATTTTAAACTATAAGTTCACTGGACGCATTCCTGTCATTGCTCACAACCTTCGTGGTTATGACTCTCACCTGATTATGCAAGGTATTGGAAAGTTAAAGAATAAGAAGATCAACTGTATCCCCAACAAGACCGTCATTTCCTTTTCCATCGATAACCTAGATTTCATTGATTCACTACAGTATATGAACGCTTCCCTAGAACGGTTGGGTGCAGATATGTTTCCGATTCTCCAAAAACACAGATCAGGTGCTTCTGAGGAAAGGATAGTGTGGGAAAGTTTAATAAAGAAACTTCGTCCTCAAGAATGTTTCTACAGTGGTCTGAACGATGAACACATTTTCTATGCGGACTACGGCCACGCTATACTAGTATCTCTGAAGCTTTCGGTTGCCAAAGTATGGGTGATTACCATGATTTATAGTTAAAATCGGACGTCCTGCTTCTTGCCGATGTATTTGAAAACTTCCGAAGCGTCTGTTTAAAAGCATACAATCTGGACCCTTGTCACTTTTACACAAGTCCTGGATTGGCGTGGCAAGCTTATCTAAAAATGACAGAGGTAGAACTAGAGTTATTGACTGATTCAGATATGTATTTATTCATCGAAGAAGGGTGTCTTGGTGGGATAGCAATGATAAGTAACCGTTTCAGTAAAGCGAACAATCCGTATGTCCCCAACTATGACCCTGATCAAGACACATGTAACGTGATGTATCTCCACGCGAATAATCTATACGGCTGGGCTATGTCACAACCTCTACCAACTGGTGAATTTGACTGGTTAAATGACGAAGAGATCTCCAACCTCGACATCATACAAATTCCTGCATGATGACTCTAAAGAAGGTTATATTCTCGAAGTGGATTTAAATTATCCTAAAGAGTTGCATGTCCTACATAACGACTATCCGCTAGCTCCTGAAAAGATTAAGGTTGTATCGGAAATGCTGTCGCCCTATTGCCAGCAGCTCTCAGAAGACTTAAATCTCGGAAGTGTTGCTGTCCCAAAGTTAGTGCCCAATCTTAACGACAAGACCAACTATATTGTACACTACCGTAATCTGAAGTTATATCTTTCTTTGGGAATGGAGGTGACAAGAATCCAACAGAGTCTTGGTGTTTCAACAAAGTTTATGGCTTAAGACCTACATTGATTTCATTTCAACACAGGAAGAAAGAAGAAAGCACGCTGCGAATGACTTTGAGAAAGATTTCTACAAGTTGATGAATAATGCAGTGTTTGGGAAAACCATGGGGAATCTGAGAAAGCGAGTCAATGTCAAATTGGTCTATGATGAGACAAAGCTGTCAAAACTAACTGATCGTCCATCATTTGACTCTTTCTGTATCTTCTCCGAAGATCTTGCTGCTGTGAATATGAAGAAGACGAAGCTATACTTAAATCGACCAATCTATGTGGGATTTGCAACCCAGTTTCATTATGAATATATGAAACAGAAGTATCGTGCTAGCGCCAAGCTGCTTTTTACGACACGGATAGTCTGTTACGAAGTGAAAACTCGTGGCATCTACTAAGATATGCTGGAAGATCTATTCAATGCATCTGATTACGCACAAGACCATTCTCTTCACAGTACTAGAAACAAGAAAGTCCTTGGCAAAATGAAAGGCGAAACCCATGAAATTCCTATTCAAGAGTTTGTTGATTTGAGACCAAAGATGTATTCCATCCTGGACTTAAAGCAACCTTGTTTAACTAAATGGGGTAGATCTCGTGACCATATCTTCGAATCTGATTCATAAAAGTTTGTGTTCGGTTCTTATCAAATAAGCGGGTCTTATAATTCTCATGTCTTATGTGTTTCCTTGTGACAGACTTCTTTACTCCTTTGGCCGTCTTCTTCTCCATCAGCTTGTTGTTCTCGGTGTATATATGATGATAAGCGTTTTATTTTAGAAGACGGTGTTAACACGTTAGCTCATGGACACTATACAATTAGCAAATAAGTTGTGTAACAAATCTCACATACGGTGGAAAAATAAAGATGGTATTGTGGGCACTCTAAGATAGTGGGCACTCTAAGATAATGTAATAAAACCTTGTAATGTGAAGAATTCAAATACACTTCATTATATTCAATGTCTATTGTCCTTTATACTTTCTTGGGAATTTTGAAGAAACTGAGCTGTAGTGTATACAGTTCATGATGGTGGAAGGCACTTATAGTTGGGTGGAAGGGAGCTCTGAGGATGGGGAATGCATATATTTAGAGAATTTAGCAACTGAAAACAAGGCATTTTTAATACCATGGACTGGTGGGGCATTTGCCCCACTTGGCCCCTTCCTCTGCCCCACCACTGAAGAAAAAAATGGCCTATTGCCCCAAAGCCAGGACCCTGATGTATTTGAAAACGTCCGAAGCGTCTGTTTAAAAGCATATGATTGGCGTGGCAAGCTTGTCTGAAAATGACAGAGAATGTTTAGCATGCAATTTAAAACAAATTTCACCATTAAAACTTTGTTTTACATGTAAGAAGCTGATATTTTCTTTAAAATGTGTTCTCAGAATGCAGGAAATGCTATTTCAGAGACCCAAATTTTAAAAATTTCCTGGGGGCAGGCATGCCACCAGACCCCCCTCCTAGCTAACTCGTGCCTGCGATAGCTCGGGTCACACCTTCGGCGATTGCATACTATCCTGGGAAAGGGCAAGGAGAGAATGGGCCCTTTGGCAGTTTTGCCCTACCACTGAAGAATCCTTAAAAAATGCACTGACTGAAAAAACCCTTTATTCTTTTTTATTTTTAAGCCGATTATTCTTTCCTCTCAAAATTATGGTTAAAACCAACTTGTACTATTTTCATCTAATATATTATATCACACCCGCATTATCTAAAAACGCCTGATTACTTTACTGATCACAGAATATTACGTTACTAAATAAAAAACTGAGCGTTGCGTTAGGGTGGAATACCACCATAAGCGTGCATGAGGATGAGAGGTGTAATCGCGTTTCGGGGCAAATTTCGCAAACGGTAAACCATTATTAAAGGGACTTCCGAGACACAAAAAGTCACTCTGGGGCACTTTCAAAAGTAAACTGTGAAGATTTTCTTGAAATGGCATGTAATTCATAGTCAACGCTTGTTCAATTAGATTATAACTGCATATGACCAATGCGAAATGACATGGTGATTTCATGGGTGGTGCTTAGTGCAGGGTACTTAAACATTAAGTTAACCCTATTCCAAATACATTTTTAAACTATTCAAATGATGAAAGTTATTGTTGTTTTTAAGCGTTTATTAGCAAGTGGGAACGACCAACATGGCCACAATCTATTCAAATGAGGGTAACCGCTGGAATATTCTTGGCTTCAATTTTACTAAAAGAGATGCACTATCTAGTGTATATAAGATATCTATGGTGGCTTCCTATTAACTGGAAGAACAATTCGTGTGAATCAATGAACTACGTCATTAAGCTCTCGGCAAATTGGAAGGCCATGTCAATGAAATTGCCAGATTTGATTGAAAAAAAAAGACTTGATAGAATTGTCAAGCTACAGCAAGCTAAATGTAGGAGAGCTTTATACGGGCATGATAACTATGAGTTGGCCCCGGCCCGTGGGAGTTGAAATACAAAATGTACACTGGACACAAAATACGAACGCAGAAAAAGGAGCATTGTATGGGATGGGAGGGGGGGGAGGGGGACAAACAAAGTTTTACTCTTATAAATATAGGGGGCGGGTTAAAAAAGTTTTAACCTAGAGAAAAGGGGGGGGGGGAGGTGTCAAAAAAGTTTTTGAGGCTTAAATACCACGTCTAGAGTTTAGATTTTCTGATATCGAAGTTGAGATATTTAACGTCAGTTTCTTTAACATTTTAATATAAATCACAAGTATGCCTACATAGACCGTTTCTTAATTAAAGCTATGCAAAACACTCGTATGCAGTGCATGTTTCATCAGATCTATTAATTAAAACACTTGGGTATCGCCTCGTTTTATAATTAAATCTGATAAAAGATTGCTGTTGATGCTTCAAATATTATTAAATTAACTTTAGCTTTGATTTTCTCGGTTTAGACAAAGTTTATTTTAAAAATTACTTCGCTAATGTACTCATTAGAAGATGGGTAGTTTTTTAAGCCATTTAAAGCACTCGTAGTCGTGTTTTAAATAGTACGTACATAATTACTAACTTTTCTGCTCCCTGTTCCTGCTGTACAAAGTTTTTATATATATATATATATATATATATATATATATATATATATATATATATATATATATATATATATATATATATATATATATATATATATATATATATATATATATATGTTTTGTCCAGGATTGTCTGTATATTTCAAATTCAATAACCAAGGCATTGCGCATTAAAAATTGAGTTCTATGCTGGACTTTCTCTTTCCGTATAGTAAATATGACTCACTAGAATGTATTAGGCTTCAAGAAGCAAATACCATATGGTCGACAAGGTAATATAACACCCTCATGCAATGCAATGCTATGCTTTGATAGCTTGTATAGAATGCGATTAAGAATCGTATGCGACGACTTTCCCGCATTTAATATACGTCGGAGAGCAAGTCAATGTACTTGGTAGTGTATATACCAACTATCTTACAGTAAGAATATTCTAAAATACGTTAATCCATATTTATTTGTGTTGTTAGACAGACAAATGCTTAGCTCTTGACTGGAAATATATTGCGTGACCGCCGCGCTAAATGACTAATCCGATTTTGTTATTGTCGTATAATTAATAGCGCATGCGCATTGACGGTGTACCACGGTACAGCGTGAACATATAAGAATATATATATATATAACCTTTTGTAGGGTTAAAATGGTACACCGTGGAATATTTTAAAATTATCGCGCTAAATATTGCCTGAAGTAGGTTGGAATACTAAGCAACACACGTTCTTTCAAGTCCATTTCATTGGTTTGTATTACACCTATAACTGGGGATATTATCACAGTCTTAGTGCATTGGTGGTGGTACACCGTTATGTATGACACTGAGTGAAATTACACATTGATTTACCACACCTGGAAAACGTGTGTCAAAATGCATAATTCACATTTATATAGTTGTCACTTAATATTTTAAATATATGCAATAAATACCAGAAAGGTAACTATATGTTGAATTTATTATCCCTTAGTTCTACTGGATATCACAGACATTTATGTATGGACTGAATGTTTAACCTATCAATATATAAGTCGCGCAAACCCTTATGGAAATATATTTTTTGGGTCGTACATTGTATTTCATGCACTGATCGCTTGCCATGTCTGTCTAGGCACCTCACATATGGTCGATTAGGCCGGTCTATTGTGTCTTGCAGGTCTTATATAAATATACAGATAACAAATATGACTCGTATATATTTCTTAATTTCTGAATTATTGCAATGATATCTACTAGAACGCGATAGTTTTACTTTCTCAATTATTTCCGAAACATTTCGTTGCTTTTAATTGCTAAAAAATAATATATCGCATGCGATTTTCTCGGCAAAATTTTCTACCACACATTATTACCCTTTCAAAACACTAAGATCAGTTCATGACGTATTTAACTAATGAAATAAGGTACTTGATGTAATTATGAACATAAGTAGGCCATACGGAATGCACATAAACGAAATACATGGCAAGGACATGTATAAAAAGCGAAATGTAAAAGAATATAATTTCGACTCATTTCAGACAATCCTGGACAAAACCATCTGCGACACTCTATTAAAACATTGCTTTGTGGCTTTTTTTACCAGTTAGACCGGAATAATTTACTCGTTTGCCCCCCTCCAGCCCCCAAAACAATGTTGGACGTTTCATCCGTATTCTACGAATGCAATCAACATTGAATGGTGGGGGGAAAGGGGGAGGTTTTCTAAATTTACGATAATATTACGACATTTTGTCAAGTAATTGGAAGTGTCGCAGATGTTTTGTCCAGGATTGTAGGTCCTTTATTATTTCTTATTTATATAAATGATTTGACGACTTCTGTTAATCATGGTACTGCCCGAATGTATGCAGATGATACTAACGTATCATTCTCAGCATGTGTTTTTTCTGAACTTCAACGGCAGATGAAAAAAGACCTGGAACATTTAGAATCCTGGCTTATAGCCAACAAACTTACTTTAAATACAGTGGAAACTGAATATATGGTTGTTGGTTCAAAACAAAGAATAAATTCACTTGTGGGTAATCTGACACTTTCCCTTAATGATATATCTCTACGTAAAGTTAAGAGTACTAAGTGCTTAGGAGTGACAATAGACGAATTTCTCACATGGGCTGAGCACATAGATAATGTAATTAAAAAATTAGCGATCGGCGTTAGTCTTCTACGTAGAAATAGAAAAGTCTTGAAAAAGTGCGATCTTATGAATGTATATAGAGCTATTGTAGAACCTTATTTTGATTACTGTTGTATAATTTGGGATGGCATCAGTGACTATTTGGCGTTAAAGCTTCAAAAACTTCAAAATCGTGCAGCACGTATTATTACTGGAGCCGACTATTCGCGAAGGTCCAGTGATATATTAAACGAATTAGGATGGGAGAAGTTGAGTGAACGAAGACAAAAATGCAAAGCAGTGATGATGCATAAAATATTAAACCATAAAGCACCGTCATGTTTCTTAGGTTTATTTAGACCAGAAACTGGTGCCAATTTTTATGATCTTCGTTCTTCAACAGAGAATGTCGAACTTCCACTAATTCGAACTGAATATTACAAGAGAAGTTTTGTTTACTCCGGCGCAAAAGTGTGGAACTCTCTTCCTGAAGTATTGAAAAAAGAGAGTTCATTAAAGCGGTTCAAAGATCTTTTAAAAAATATCCATTTTTCCGCTGATCATTAATTAATTAAATTAATATATATTGCAAACTATGTGTACTGTATGTGTAATATATATATATATATATATATATATATATATATATATATATATATATATATATATATATATATATATATATATATATATATATATATAGTTTTTCGTTTTACCTCAAAAAACCACAACAGTGTGTTTCATCCGTATAGGAATCATCAGGTGGTGAATAATTTCGAAATTGTAGGTTGCTTTTATGCTATCGAAAGAATGTGCGGAATGCGTGTAGGCGAAACAATGCTTAGGTGAAACAATGCATGCTTGGGTCATTAGGGTTTGTTAACGACCTTGTTTACTCGAAACCGGTTTTTGTGACGACATTTGCCGAAAATTTCGCTTCTTTTATTGAGTAAATTGTCTTTGTTTATGTCTTTCAAAATGCAAAAATTTTCTTCCAAACATAAATTGCAGCGTTTTGATCGCCCTGTGTACGAAATAGCGTGTTTTAAAATTGACCATTTGATGGTATAATCCTGATTGTTTTCTTTTAATTTCCACGAATGAAAAAACAATTCTACGAATTCTAGAAGCAATTCTACGAATGAAAAAACGCGAAGCATTTATATCTTTAAAAGATCACAAAGAAAATTTCGAAAACAATCCAAAATGCCGACTAATTAATCCCGCAAAAAGCGAATCCGGAAAACTAAGTAAGGTTATTTTAGATAAAATTAATTCCAATTTGTGACAAAAACTAAATTCAAATCAATGGAGAAATACGCAACAAGTAATTTCATGGTTTGGCAATATAAACGATAAAGACAGGCACAGTTTTATTTCATTTGATATTGTGGATTTTTGCCCATCTATTTCCGAAAAACTTTTAAATGAAGCATTGGCCTGGGCTTCGGATTTGACTACTATTACCGAAAACGATATTTCAATAATAAAATATGCAAGAAAATCTCTACTTTTCGGCAACGGCAAATTATGGACAAAAAAAGACGGAAGCAACAGTTTATTTGACGTCACTATGGGTAGTTTCGACGGCGCTGAAATTTGTGAGCTGGTAGGCCTTTTCATTTTAAATCACTTAGGTAAGAGGTTTGGCAAGGAAAACATCGGACTTTATAGAGATGATGGTTTGGCTATTATAAAAAGCAAATCCGCCCGTTTACTAGACAAAACTAGAAAAGAGCTACACAAAATTTTCGCGCAATTTGACCTTAAAATCACCGCCGAAGTAAATATGAACGGAAAACCATCCACCAAGCATTACAAGACAATTACCTACAGCTATCAACAAACGCATTGCACTTCTCTCATCGGACGAACAAACATTTAAGGAATCCACACCTATTTACCAGAACGCTCTTACACATAGTAACTTTGATCATGAATTTACGCACACTGAGAATGCACCGCAACGGACACGTAGGAATAGGCAACGCAACATAATTTGGTTCAACCCACCATTTAGTAAGAGTGTTAACACGAACATAGGACGGGAATTCTTAAGTTTAATTGACAAACACTTCCCGCTACAGCACAAACTACACAAGATTTTTAACAGAAACACTTTAAAAGTAAGCTACAGTTGCATGAACAACGTTAAGTCTATAATCACCAAACACAACGCACATATAATTAGGAACAGTCAATCACAGAATACGGAAACTGACAACTGTAACTGCGACAACAAAAACACTTGCCCACTACCGAAACAATGCATGACCAACAACATTATTTACGAAGCAACAGTCACAACGAACAACACGAACGACACTAAACACTACATTGGTATGACAGCGACTACATTTAAGGAACGTTACGCTAACCACACTTCATCTTTTCGTCATAAAAAAGACTCAAACAAAACGGAACTTTCGAAACATATTTGGAAATTAAAAGAAAACAATCAGAACAAACACGCTATTTCGTACACAGGGCGATCAAAACGCTACAATTTATGTTTGGAAGAAAAATTTTGCATTTTGAAAGACATAAACAAAGACAATTTACTCAATAAAAGAAGCGAAATTTTCGGCAAATGTCGTCACAAAAACCGGTTTCGAGTAAACAAGGTCGTTAACAAAACCTAATGACCCAAGCATGCATTGTTTCACCTAAGCATTGTTTCGCCTACACGCATTACGCACATTCTTTCGATAGCATAAAAGCAACCTACAATTTCGAAATTATTCACCACCTGATGATTCCTATACGGATGAAACAGACTGTTGTGGTTTTTTGAGGTAAAACGAAAAATGTCGCCCCAACAGCATATATATATATATATATATATATATATATATATATATATATATATATATATATATATATATATATATATATATATATATATATATATATATATAATTATGTTTCGTTGTCTACAAAAACATTTGGCAGAGTGCTCAACGGATATCCAGAGCATAATTAATTAAGTGTAACGACTCAACAAATTCCACTAGGCATCTTTATTACTATAAGTTTCGTACCACAAGATGTGGCACTTATCAAATAAAATAGCCTTATAACTGCAGCAAAAACCTACAGTATTTATGTACAAGTGGATGAAAGCGTCAAATTAATCCTATTTACAAAGCACGCAAAGCAATTATTTTGTTAGCTGCTTGATAAAATTGACAGGACGCGGAAGTATTAAGAGTGGATGTCAGCAAAAATCGGATATTTTAGCAAATTCGCGGCCACGGTCGAGAAATCGATTCCGCTCATATTTTAACTATATATAGGCCCTAATGTAAGAAATACCACTGTGTAGTTTGCTTGGTGAAATACGGCTTAGTATTCGGGAAAATCGCAGAAAACTCTTTTCGAATTAAATTCGCTAATTTTGAGCCGATAATTTAGGTTAACTTCAACAACTTCTCGGGGCGAAACAAAATAACCCAGCGCTGTAGTAATCTCACACGATGTTAATTGCTATCTTAATATGCAACAGGTAGAGTTTCAGCCATTATTGTTCGGGTTTTTGATTTTTATTGAAGTTATTTTTGGAATACATAGGAAGCCTCTCTCAAAATAGGTTCAAAGTAAACTAATTTTTTTCCATGTGCGACGAAATTTTTTTTACTATAAAACAACCCATAATTGCCTTTAAATGGTGTATTTTGTGAATCGTTTAAAATTTTCTTGGGGAAATTATTTTGCGTGATGCAGCGCATCCCCAAAGTTGTAAGAAATTTACAAATTTTGCATGTCGGCAAGATCAATCAATTTATATATTGTGCACATATGTAGCGTTTATAAAAGCGGCTCAGTGTTTGTATTTTAAATTAAGAACAAAGTGGATGTTCTTCATTGTAAAAGGAACTGACTAATCACAAACTATGTTAAATTCCCTTTTTAAGTACATCGAGTGTAGCCAGCGTGGGTTTAAAAACCATATCATAACCCAATCGTCTAAGTATCTCTTCATAGCTTTCGGTTATTGTCTTACATTGCCACGCTGGCTACATCGATTGACCCATATAGTATCTACTAGTAAGTGCATAATATTGGTGTCTATTTCTGTCTATCGTCAAACTCACATTTTATACGAGTTATTTCAAGAAAACGAATATTTTATGTGTAATAAACAAACCGGACGTAATTCATTGACATTTTCAAAATTTCCTGTCCTTTTCAGCTACTCGTCTTTTATGCTTATCAGTTCCGGATACGTTATCGAGGGTTTACTAATATTAGTATAAAGATGATTCTCTTTAAATAATAGAATATTCTGACGTTCACCTTTGACGCCTAATCATTGTAATCTAGTTCAGCAACCGCAACTTTGAACCAGTTTTTCTAGCAAATCAATGTACGGTTTTTTGAATTTGCGCTTGCCAGTGCTGTCAGTAATATTAAGTTCGAATGAAGAACAAATTTCTTGTAGCATGTAAACAGAGAATTTGGAAAGTTTTCTTTGACTTGTTAATTCACAAATATTGTGCCTATCGAACATTATTGGATGCTTCAGGCCGATTGCGTCAATCAAGGAAGCTGATAATTCTTCGATTTCTTGTCCTTTTCTCTTTTCGAAATCTTTCTTATATAAATCGTCTTCCTCGTAGTCATTGTCATCACCATCACCCCTTTCTTCATTATCTTTATCGCCCGCTGTATTTTCCCTTCTTTTTTTCGCCAATCGTGAGAAGAAACTTGCAATCTGCTGCGGTGTTAAAAAGTCGCCCTTGTTAAAAAGTCGCGAGCCGTCGCTGTTTCTTGTAGATCTCATTGCTCTTGACACATCACCTGGATCGGCTTTTCGCCCTGTTTGCTCTCCAGCATCAAACACGTCAACCAGGTACTTCTTCTGAACATCGGAAAACCGCTTTCCCTTAGAGGAAGTTCTCAAAGCCCAGCCCATCTGAAGATCAGGGCCAATATCTGGCTCTGGCAACTCGACGCTCTCTGACTCCGTTGGTATCGGGTTTTTACTGGATCCTTCTTCCAGTTTTGTTGCATATAGTTTCATAGCCTTGTCATAAAGGGTTTCATGCTCTAGTACGTAGGTATGGTTGTCACAATGCAAATGTCTTTCTAGAGAAGAGTACCTGTGGAATGATTTAATGCAGCCTTGTTCAGGACAGAGAAATAATTTGCTGTACGTGTCGACTCTTTCATCGTTGCTTTTGTCCTCCATTGGATCAGTATTACTTTGTTCGCGAGATTTCTTTGGTTGTTGTCTTGCTTTCACTGCGACAAATGATACTGGGTCCTCGGTTTCCTCGCTATGGATACGTTTTGGTGCCTTTGGGGGTCGACAGAAATTGGTCAAAGGAAGGACTTTGCCTGGACCATTATTGTATGCCATCCACACCGTCATGGACTCATTGCGGTACTCTATGTTGTTAATAAGACTCACACCATCCCATTCCCCTGCCATTCCCTTGACACCAGGTGGTGGAGCGCACACTGTTACTTTCACTCCTGGGATACCTTCAAAGGACTCGATTGCTACCTTCATTTGCTCGGTTTTCGATATCGTTCCCTGAATTCAGGTATTTATTCATGTGATTTTTAATATGAGCTGCCTTTCGGTCGCATGCTCCCTTCCCCCCTTGGGGATCGGAAAAATCGATACGTCTGATTTGAATTCCAGTTGATCTCTCTATCGTTGGCAGAGAAAGCAGAGTTAATGCAGAGTGGTAGCACCCTGCATTATCTTGACGCCGATATACGGTATGCACCTCTGGTGCAATGGTTGAGAGCTGACTTAAGACGTCATGAATGATTGCAACAACAGCGCCACTATCCTGGCTACAAGACTTAAACAAGTGGAAAAAAAGTAAGAACTTGGAGGTCGCCATCATCATTCTTCTTTGTTAATACCGCTATGTGCCAAGGAAGTCCCCGTTTTGCAAACTGATCTCTTTGGCTTTCACGGTATTTGCGAGGAATGAATTTCATTGCCCAGTCTAAAACGATAAGTGCAGAATGAGAATCCAAGACTTTTAAAATGTCGTGTCGTGCTGCGTCCTGATTAATTGATCTCAAAATATGTGCTTTCCAGGATCTAAAGTGTTGAGTTGCTTGTGTAGTAACGTACTCCATGTTTTCTTTCTCTTCAAGAGGGCAATTTACTTCTTCCAAAGATGGGCAAATATCAGCTAGAGTCTCAGGAAATATACTGCATCTATCACACTTTCCCTTGTGCTCATGACCACAGCTGGTGGTATAATTTTCATCATTTGGAAAACTGAGAGCATATGTTCTGCAGTGGTCCGCAACTTCGGAATTGCTAGAAATGTGAATCTAAAAAGAATATATGAATCAGATACAAAATCAACTATTCTAGAATGATTCTTACATGCGCGAATCTACAAAAAATCCAATAAGCTTTCACTTGTTTATACCTTGTAGTCTCCTTTTAAGTAACGTTTAGCATCTTTGAGTTTTTGGTTTGTTTGTTTGGCCCATGCCAAACCCTTGCCATAACGATCTCCAAGCATGTCAACGACGTTCTCTAGATCATCAAAGACCTGACCACCCATTGCTGATATATAATCGAGGCCTTGCAACGACGTACGTGCGGAAGCAGAACAGACTTTAAGAACCCTGCGCAATGTACTGCGGCTCATCGGTTGGAAGCTCACCTCTTTGCAATATCCTTCATACTGTTGGATACATTGTTCTGGTATAAGATTGCGCACAACGTTGGGAATCTTTATTTCTCTGTGAGTGGACAGTTTTAGTGTTTTTTTCTCCAAATGGTAAGTCTTGTATGATATGCGAGCTTGTAATAAAAGTAACAAAATGGTCGATTTTTTCCGGCTGAATGTAAACTCTCGTATTCTTTAAATGGGGGAGTTCCGCGCCCCTACCGTGAAGCAACAGATGATGTTTTGCAATATTGAAACGATATCTGGTCAAGGTTGGTATCCATTTTTGCAGTTCTTCAAAGGTGACCTTATCAACCATTATAGACAATATCTGTCTACGCGTGCTCCAATGGCTCGTGTTATTATATAACACTCCGTTAAAGCATCCAATAAGAAAGTATCAATATTTTTATCACTGCCCAACTTGTCGCATGCTAATTCTTTAAGTAGCGTGGATGATTGTCCAGGAACGATTTCTTCTAGGCACGCAGTAACAACTTGGCGCGCTTTGCGCATGTGAAAACGTTTTGTTCGGTCTGAAACTTCTTCGAATGGTGCTGATAAAATATACCTGGTGGGGCTAACATCTCTTGAGGTTAGAAACGCATTGAGATTCTCTCTTAGTGTAGACAGTGTAGTTGATATATCTTCTGAAATAGTCGAAGTAAAAGACGTCTCGCCAGGTTTGTACAGGCTCATGCCAGTACTTTCAACGTCAAACGTTGTTCGTTCACAAACAGGTGTGGACATGTCTGGAGAGAACGTTATTTCCAACTCGTCGTCTATGTTCTTATTCTGTTAAAAAATAGGCATGGCAGCGATTAGAATCATATGAGCAAATTAGAAGATAAGAATTTGTGATATCTATGGTACAGTGCTGGTGCAAGAAATCCCGTTTAGTCCCCAACCTCCCATGCACCAACCAAATTCCAGCATGCGTCTGGCGTCTTCAGTGCTCTTCCAGCACACATATTAGGGACCAATCATTAATTACAAGAGAGGGGCTGACGGAAATGTTAAACTTAGATGTTAAAATTATGTCCCCCCCCCCCCCACTTGAGGATGCAATAACAAAAGAGACGTAATTTAAAGTTCTTATACAATGTGAAGCCACTTTAATCATATTATCCTATATATCTTTATATATTATCTACCATTAATCGAGTCAACGGCCATTCCGATGCAATGTACATGCAATGAACCATCAGAAAGAGTAAAAAATAAGTACACTTATTACTTTATGTTCAGTTTAATAAATTTTAATAAATGTTGTTGTGACCTTGGATTTGAATATTTGGCATTGTGCTTACCACAGGTGTACTGCTCTCTATTTTTCACCTGTAGATTATATGATATGATGGGGTCACGGGGCAGGTATTCATATTGAACAAAAATGTCCCCCCTCCTCCTTTCATGCAGAAAAGATCTGACTTCCCCTCTTTTTCACCAGCCCCCCCCCCCGTCCCTTGTAATTAATGACCGGTCCCTTGGAAGGCTGACGCTTAATTGAAATATTTGAAAACCATTGCAATCACTAGCATTGGCTGGGACGCTTAAGCTTTCATTTCCCGCCGTTTCCCACGAAAACTGAAGATAGAGTTTCAGGTATAAAATTCGACACGCAATACAAATAACATAATTCAAACTTACCAGTGTTAACGCATCCATTTGATCGATAACACTCTCTGCTTTATGCGAACTGGTTAGCACTAATGCTCTTAACTTCTTACGACATGTTGAACAAATACCTGGATAAAACAACACATAGAAAATTCAAGAATCAAGCTAGTAATTAGTATGTTATCAACAGAAATCAACTCGAAACTATTCAGCAACTCTTACCTGAACCAACCTGCAAAAATATACCAGTCATCTTTAATATTAACTGCGAATCGTCCTTATCTATTCCTTTGTCGCACTTTGGCCACTTTCCGTTTGCTTGCCTGTGACTTGACAGTGCAGCGGGTACCCTACACCTTGCATTATTGCCTCTGCTCCACCCCAGGCCAAGTTTGGATCGATGTAGCGGGCAAATTGTCCAACAATGGATATTTTCCGGCGATATAAATATGCCTGTTCGGCTAAGAATCAGTTCTACGTCGCTTTCGACGCCAGAAAATTGAAATGTTGATTTATGTGCCACGATTTCCTTGTTAAAAACTTGTAAAGGAATAACTACAGTGCTTTGTGTTCTATCTTTTCTATCGTATCCACAAGTCCCACCAATAATCTCCTTTAGCGAGCAAGAAATCTCCATTTATATAATTATATATCTGGCCGAATCTATATAAAGTTTTATCACGCAGTCTTTAGATAAATTTTTATAGTATAAACAATACAGGCCGATTGTTAATACCCTGGGTTAAAATTTAACCCGCTGGCGGTGTTTTGTTTTTTGACTTTACTCTTTAGTTTATTTCTTTACGTTTGTTTACAAAAAACGGCTTTGTAAAACAAGACTTCTATCGACCCAGAAAGTAAAACACTTTCATGTTTTTTTACGCAGGCTGCCTATAGGGCCGTACGTTACAGGTTTACATTAATATTAAACGCAGACGGATAGTTGCCAATTTCATCTACATGTATTTAATACAGTAATAAGGTAATAAGTAACTGCTTTGAAATTCACGACGCTGAAGGAATATTGCGGGTTTAAGGCACCCATGCAATGCATAGCCGTGTTGTGTAAACGTTAAGCCCAAAAGACGGGCGACAGAAAAGGACAGGAAATTTCGAAAATTTCAGTGAATTATGATATTTGTTTTGTCGAAATAACTCGTACGAAATGCAAGTTTGACGATGGACAGAAATAGACACTAATATTATGCACTTACTAGTGGAGACTATATGGTATATGGGTCAATCGATGGATTTAAAAAAGGGAATTTAATATAATTTGTGATTAGTCAGTTCCTTTTACGAAGAAGAACATTCACTTTGTTCGGGCCATTCCATTTAATGTACACACCCCCCTGTGGACGAAGTCAATAAAATTTGAACCCTAAGAAAAAAAGATCAAAGTGCCGACACAAACACCCCTCCAGAAATTAAGAAATTTTTGCCTTACCCCTCGGAAAACGCAAAGATCAAAGGATGCCGATGCCCACAACCCCTCAGAAACGGCTTTTTCAACCCCCCTCAGAAATTTTCGTCAACAGGGGGTGTGTATATTAAATGGAATGGCCCTTCTTAATTTAAAATACAAACACTGAGCCGCTTTTATAAACGCTACATAATTTATGTACACAATATATGAATTGATTGATCTTGCCGACATGCAAAATTTGTAAATTTCTTACAACTTTGGGGACGCGCTGCATCACGCAAAATAACTTCCCCAAGAAAATTTTAAACGATTCACAAAATACACCATCTAAATGCAATTATGGGTTGTTTTATAGTAAAAAACATTTCGTCGCACATGGAAAAAAATTAGTTTACTTTGAACATATTTTGAGAGAGGCTTCCTATGTATTCCAAAAATAACTTCAATAAAAATCAAAAACCCGAACGATAATGTCTGAAACTCTACCTGTTGTATATTAAGATAGCAATTAACTTCGTGTGAGAATACTACAGCGCTGGGTTATTTTGTTTTGTCCCGAGAAGCTGTTGAAGTTAACCTAAATTATCGGCTCAAAATTAGCGAATTTAATTCGGAAAGTATTTTTTGCGATTTTCCCGAATACTAAGACGAATTTCACCAAACAAACTACACAGTGGTGTTTGTTACATTAGGGCCTATATATAGTTAAAATATGAGCGGAATCGATTTATCAACCCTTGCCGCCCAATGTTCGATTTTTGCTGACAATCACTCTTAATAACGCATAACATCACTTCAAAAAATCGAATTCTAGTCTAGAATAATATTCTTATTATTTAGATTATTTTTCTTATTTTAAGTAAATATTTCTTATCAAGAAATATTTCAAGAAAAAAAATCTAGTTTTAAGAACAAAAATCTTAAAGTAAGAAAATATAACTAGGCAAGAATATTCGAGAGAATATTTTTCTTATTGTAAGAATAACATTTTTCCATCCTAGAATAATATTCTTATAATTAGAAAAACAATCTTGAAATGAAGTTTAATATTATTTATCGCATATATCAAAACCTTTCTTTCGGACGGCAACTTTTGCATGGCCGATACGAGATATGATATTGAATTGAATTAAACCTAGTTCTATTGTAGCTATATCTTTCACTTTTTTGTCAAATTTGAAACTGAACGGCTCTGTCCTGAATTGTCGCAGTTTCAACATGGCGGATATCACAATGAATTTGTATATGGCCAACGAATTGTTATTGAAAAATAACAATTATACATGAATTCAAATCATTTGCAACAATCGTCTATCTACACTTTAATGAAGATGGTATAATCCACCGCAAAAAATGATGTGTAAATTTACCCAAGATTTTGCGTATAAATATCGCCACATGTACATGTTATGACATCACGATTAATGCTGTCACATGTTAAGACATGCGATACGTTAATACTGTAATAAACCATAAAAAATTTTTATTTAAATTGCAATTGGCATTTCACTTTTTTAGAAAATCTATCTCATTATTCGCTCATAAGAATTTTCATCATTTATATAATCATTTTTTAACCAGAGACCGCCAGATTAATGCTTCCTACAATTTCAAGCTAGCGCTACGATAGATTGGGAGCGCTTTTTTATGTATCTATTTTAGAAGACAAGGTCACGCGCGCAATGAGTTGTGGGATATCGTGTATCAAATTTCAAGTGTGATTTGCAAATTTTCGACTTTTTCGTTTGAGTATATTTTGCCCAAGAAGAGTCCATGGTATTTATCTTATTTTGTACTGGATAAGTGACTCCGAATCCTGCCGAAGGCTTATTGATCTCAGGTATGAAATATTATTGTTTATATCATATAATTATAACGTATATCGACCGTATTTACCCATTTTATCTTGTGGCTGTTGGCCTGTTGTAGTGTTGTGGCTGCTATAATTTGAATTTGCGCGCGAGGTTTTATATATTGAATTATTTCACTTCAATGCCGTCAAATGTTAGTTAAAATCAACAATTCAAATTTTGAATAAACACATTATAGTAAATACTGGGTTTCACTTGTTTGACAAAACTCGAGAAAGCATGTTTGAACCTACATAGTATATAAAACAATATGTTAATATGAATATAAATATGGCTACATTGCTGATTGCTACAAGCCCAGTATTAAAGCCAAAACATGAACATTATTTGAGAGTATTAAACTTGAGTAAATCGCAATCTTATCTATCTGAATCATAAAATTGTTAACCCAATATATAGAATTGATTATTAAGATTATCAATTCAGTGCATATTTCTTGGTTTTAGCATGTAAATGGATTGACTTTAAATTAAGCATTTAACTCATTCTGCCAGAATGTGCCCCTACTGTTTTTCACTTGTCTAACGCCAGGTTTTTAACATGTCTTAGAACCCTGTATACGTATATGTGCCTGTTTATGTGATAATGGCATGGCTGGACAGGAGGTTTTAATCCAGGGGCCGGTTGTTCAAAGGTGGGTTAACGCTAAAACAACATGGGTAAAAATTGATCAGGTTGTTCGGCGTTGTTCAAACAGGAGTGAACAATGTTGTGCTGCACCCCGTGAACAATATTGTTAACAAGTTGTTCAACCATCAGTACTGTTGCAAGTTGTTAACATGATTGTCAACAAGTTGCAACAATGTTGATGGTTCAACAACTTATTAACAATATTGTTCACGGGGTGCAGCACAACATTGTTCGCTCCTGTTTTGAACAACTTGCATCAACATGATGATTTTTACGCGTGTAGGTTAACATTTAACCTGCTGTTTTAGTTCGTGTATTTCTGCATGTCTGTTTATTTCAAAACTTCAGAGAAGGAAACTCCTATCAATCCAGACAAGATCTCTGAAGAAATATTTCCAAATTTATAGACAAGCTGTCAGGAAGTTTGCTTTGAATTTTAGCTTAACCTACGGTTAAGCTAACCCAGCTTTGAACAACTGGCCCCAGGATGGTGTGTTTATATAGACGGAATACACCCCGCCTGGCAGGGATGATAGAGTGCTTGTATGAGAATTTCTTGTGCTGGCAAGTGTGATCCCGGCAACAAATAATGAGATCCTGTCTAGACCAGAAAGAAGTAGAATAATTCACTTTACTGTAAACAGTCGATAGAAGCTGGATCGTGCCAAATGTCTAGCCTGGGATCATATTAAATAGGCCTTAAAAGCAATTTATAATGAAATGGGTCTAAATGACTGTATATTTACTGCAAACTTTATAGTGTAAAAACAGTCAGTGCTTACAACAGCATAAAACTACTGAATTATTAACTATGGTAATATTCTTTTTATATGTGCATCCAAAGTTGCAGTAGATTGAATTATCTTTAAAAAAACCATTAATAGATTAGGCACCAGCAGTCCAGCACTCTCCACTTAGCCATGATGAGTAAAATGGTCTGACGCTAGACAGAGAACAATAATCTAGAGCTAGGTGCTGGAGAGTCAGAGCCGGAGTTGGAAAACTCCGCCAAAAACTCCGGCAGACAAAATTATGAAAAATTATTTCATATTTCAACGAACATTTTGAATTAAATGGGATGTCTCATGTTGACAAATATAACCTCCAAATTTGAAAAAGATTGGAGACATGTGTTGCTAGCCCCTGGATGAAATGACATGGAATTACTCTATGGTCAATTTGAGTCCCAGAAATCATGGTCCCACAGTCAAAATTTCAAATTTTAACCCATGAAGTTGCATCACACCCTTTATTGTATTCCTGTCTAATGCCAGACAATTTTATTTGTGAGTGGGGGAGTGATGGTGGTTAATTGGTTAAGGATGCCAAGTTCATGCTTTCAATAAGTAACAGAGTTGTAACTTCTAACTTAACACTTGCCCGGGGAAGTGAATATCATTGCCACAAAAGGCTGGGCATCTTTAAATTTATGTTTTCATTGCCAGATAATTTTTTTATACAGTCCATGGATTCAAATTTTGTTTTTTTGTGTGCCAAAGCTAGATCTGAGGCATCTAGAGCAGTGGAAGAAAGGGTCGACATGTTGTCCCCTTAATTTAACCTACAGTAGGTACCCCAGTGGCCATTGTCTGATGGCAAGTGAATTTTATTCAGGGCAACTAATTTTCCTATCCAACTTGGCAAATTGAACTTGTCCTAATTAGACAAGTGGTCAAAATAGTAAAGTAATATACTACTGACTACTGAGTA